TTTGTAATCGTGATTAAGTATTTTTTAGTCAATACTACTCTCAGTACTCTCAATACTCTTCGTACTAGACAGAGGTGTTGACTTAAAGGAGAATAGAAGGGCAAGGAAAGCATGTCTCCCAAAAGAGATAAGGATAAAGATAAAGCAACAACGGCTAATATGGATAAAAATAAAAATATAAATTCCTTCTATTCACCTAAATCTCAAGAGCGATCCCTAATTAAAAGATCATCTCTGGGAGATCGCAGAGAATCAGCCTCACTAATTCCAGAATCCTTTTCGGCAACTCCCCAATATACCAGCCAACAAACTCTTAATGAAGCTTTGGAAGCTCTATATCTGAAATTAAAACAAGATCTGGAAGATAATTCCAATATATTAAGGCTGGAAATAGCTAATATATCTTCTAAATTGCAAAATCAGGCAGACACTCTCCAGAAAATCCAAACATCTAATGAAGATTTAACCTTAAAATACAATCAATTGGACGAGAAGATTAAAGCACTAGAGACAAAGGTTACCGATTTAGAAGATAGATCTCGAAGGAACAATATAAAATTGAGAGGAGTTCCTGAATCTATTAATTATGATCAACTAGACCAATTTTTAAAATCCTTCTTTCAAAACCTAATGCCTGAATTGTCACTTGGAGAATTCCCATTTGAGCGATATCATAGGCTACACAGACCAAAGAACTTGTCGGCAGACATACCTAGGGACATTATTGTTTGTTTTTCTAACAACTATATTAAAAATTTAATAATGCAGTCGGTACAAAAAAAATGTTATAACAGATCCTCAATTTAAAGATATTAAGTTATATTCAGATCTATCTTTGACGACCAGGTTGGCAAGGAAAAAATTTGCCGTCCAGACTAACATTTTGAGGAAGCATGGAATTAAATATAGATGGAGTTTCCCTACAGCATTATTGGTATCTTTTCAAAATCAACAATTTCTTCTCAAAGAAGCCTCGGCGGCCCAAGAAAAAATCCAATTTTGGAACTTACAGTAGTTATCTCCTGAGTTGACCAAATTATGATCACCTACGTGGAACAAGACATTGACTACTTACTAAGTCGACCAAATTAATGACCACCTTTTTGGAATAAGACAATGACTAATTACTATCACTACAAAAGGGAAAAAAAAAGAAAAAATTATGTCTAAAGTTAAGAATGTTCATTTATGGATAAGGGCATCTGGTAACATTTGTAATTCAAAAGGGGAAGGGGAAGAAGGGAGAGAAAAGGGAAAGAAAAGGAAAAATCTATACTGTTTTCATATAAGGGGTTTGACATAAGCTATGGTCTAAGGTAATGTTAACCTGGTATAATGTTGGGAGTTATAAAATTACGCCATAATTTATAGTTATTGTGACGAAATGCCTTTTGTCCCTGGATTGTTAGTTGACAAGTTGCCCTTTGCCCCCGGCTTTTGGAGGAGCCTGATTGCCAGCCTCCTTCCTCATGACTATGGCCCTGGGGTGTATTGCCATTTAAAAAGACTATTTGGGGCTTATTGGCTTCTAAAGACAGTTTCTTCCCATTGGAATCCATGGGAAGGTGTGTTTCTTCCCCTCCCCCGTTTCCTGTCTATTGTTCTCCAGCAGGGAGTTGTCCCAGGGACACTGCCGCTGGGGAGGAAAAGCCATGCTTTCTTTGGGTCACAAAGGACTTCTAACTAACTTTTAAACTAATGGAAGGATTTGCATGATTTTTGGGTATGTTTGTATTTGGGATGTGCTGATTAATAATATGTGACTTTTATTAATATTGGATGTATGGTTTTAGAGTTATGAAAGTTGGGCAAAAAGTGTGTTTTAAAATGTATGGATAATTGGGTTACCTCTCAGGCTAAGGGGAGGAGATGTGTGGGATGTAACCATTGTGTGATTGGTTTTACTGTGTCCCACCCTGTAGGATGTCCCCTTGCATGGGGACCTGCATAAAAGAAGGTTCTTTGTGTGCCAATAAACAGATCATCTTGTACCTTCATGAAGTTTCGGCTCATGTTTGGGGGATTGGAGAAACTACACTCTGGGGATTGCTATAATCACTATACTCCCCAGGGTATAATCACTAAGCTCTGCTAAGAGCTTGTTCCTGTTCCTGCTCTCTGGAATTCGGAGAGAGGTCGACCTGCTGGAAGCTGGACCCTGGTCCTGGGTCCAGAGTGGGTGGAGACGGCCAGATCCCAACCAAGCTGCGGCGGTTCGTGGGGTCTGCAGTTGTTATGGTGTCAGGCAGAGTGCTTGGAGTCCTCGGAAAGCACTAGGAGCATCCGTCGGCGGAAGGTACCCGGTCGGGGTGCCAGCGGTTCCGTTACAGTTATCATATACTATCTTCTGTTAAGATGCCTTTCCTCCCTCACTCTCCTCTGTTTTGATATAATTATCTATATAGGAGATTGGACATTTTTTATGCTATATCTCTGATGGGTAATTGAAGGCGACATATTGGATAAATACAAGAATGGTATAAAGCACATACGTAATTTATAGAGGGTTTTTTTTTTTTTTTTTTTCACATATTTTGTATTAACACTGTTAGGATTACAATTGGTACAGTAAGATATTATTAGTACACTTCTCCAATTACGGAGTTTGATAGTAAGGAATTTTAGAGATTCTACACTCGTATTTTGTAGTGACATAAGCTTTGGTCACAATAATTATGATTCAACATTATTCAGCACTAATAAGAATGGAAGAAAGTTATTTATACACGAGTGGTAGTACAATTTCATAGTATGGGTCTATTCACTTATGATATAACTGTGGTTATTTGTGGGTTTTAAAGGGGTAAAGGAGGTGAAGTGATTTGGTAATAGTAAGATAATACATCAGATGTAACGTCGATTTAGATCACAATAGATAGGGGGAGTCGGACCATGTGTATATATATATATATATATATCAAGGGAATATGTAAACAGAGTGGCTAAGAGAGGGGAAAGGAGAAGGAGGACTTGTACTACCATATTTAAGAGCTGGAGAGATATGTTGAACAAAACTAGAATAGCAATTTATTGTAATATGGTTTTTCAAACCAACGCGATCCTATATCCTAGGCAAACTAACTGATATATTGAAGGCTATAGTATTAAATAAAGGTCGGATTTTTGGAATACTGTTTGGTCTCTGATGAGGTCTAGAGAATTTTTTTATTTTTTTTTTCTCATTAGTGGTTTTTTTCTGTAATTATAGGTAGGTCCGTCCAGGTTGATATAAGTCCACAGGTCTCCTTATTTTGCTTCTTTCCTGGGATACGTTCCACATTTCATATTATATCCTGGAATCATAATGACTGAAGGAAGGGAGAGGAGAGGGAAATTAGCATTATTATAATGTATAGCTGCAAAATACATCAAGTAGTGTCAGATTAGTAATTTATTGGGTTATGGTTCTAGGGGCTAGTGTGGTCATATATTCTAGTCAAAGTTGACAGCACTGTGGACTGCCATTTGACTGATTTTGGACCAGATACTTGGAATGCTGTTTGGTTTCTGAAGAGTTTGGAGGTCTTCCTCCTCTCACTAGGGTCTCTATTCCTGCAATTATAGGCAGGTCTTGTTCAGGGGGATTCATATTTATATATATATATATATATATATATATATATATATATATATATATATATATATATATATATATATATATATATGTATATATATGTATGTATATGTTCCCCACTGGATTACCAAGAGGCGGTTTGTTCCCCCTCTTGAATTATTTTTTATGTTTTATGTATTTTATAATGTTAATGTGTATTCTTTTTTTGTTTTCGTTTTTTTCTTTTTTTCTCTGAGACTCGATTTGGGGTGTAATCAGGACAATAGGTGTTATGATGGCACTTAATGTGATATCATGGAATGTCCAGGGTTTGAATTCACCACAGAAAAGGGGAGCGGTTTATAAATTTCTAAATGGAAATGATATTGATATTGCTTTTATTCAGGAGACACACTGGATTAATCCCCCAGAGAGACTCTGGAAGTTTAAGAAATTCCCGTTGATATTTTCTTCCAATATGGAGGGGAATAAAAAAAAAAAGAGGCACCGCTATCATAATCTCTAGCAGAATTAATTTTGAAATGATACATCTAACTGGGAATCCAATGGGTAGATATGTGATACTCATCGCAAAAATTAGTGGTATTATATATACTTTAGTTAATATTTATGTACCAAATTCGTGCCCAGGGGACTTTTTGGATAAAACTATGGAAAAGGTTGATGAATTAGCATGTGCCAATTTGGCTTAGAGGGTCAGTTTAGACATAAAACTATGTTGTTATATAGGAGTTCTACAGCTAAAATAATTAATCCTTTTGTTGAGTCTGACCATTTTGAGGTTAAAAATGGTACTAGACAGGGTTGCCCTTTGGCTCCCCTGTTATATATTCTCACAATTGAACCCTTGGCCACTTTGATCAGACAGGATACTAATGTAAAGGGGGTCAAGTCTCTTAATGGGGAAACCAAGGTTTCCCTTTTCGCAGACGATGTCCTCCTTATCCTGACAGATCCGATGGTTTCAATTCCATCGGTATTGGATGTTATATCCATCTATAGTAGTTTCTCCAACTATAAGGTCAATATGAAAAAAAAAAAATTTTAGCCTCTTTTTTATCCGAGGCTCAGAAAGATCTTTTAACTGCACATTTCCAACTCTCATGGGCAAAAGACACTATTGGCTATTTGGGGATTAGAATATCCTTTGATATAGATAGGATGATACAAACAAACTATGATAAATTATTAAGAGATCTTCAACAACTGGTAGATAAATGGAGGAATATTGAGTCCTCATGGATAGGAAGATTAAATATGATCAAGGCATTTCTGATACCTAAACTTATATACTATCTTAGGGCGATTCCTTATAGACTGGGGAAAGGTATTCTTAACCGTTTTCAAACTCTGATTTCCAAATGCATTTGGGCAAATAAACCACCTAGGATAGCTTTTGATACTCTTCGAAGGAGCTATCAGAAGGGTGGTATAGCATTTCCAGATGTCGATAAAATCCATGAAGCATGTATGGCGACTCATCTTTTACAGTGGCTAGACAAGGAACAGGGATATAAATCATGGCTTACCCTAGAACAGGAGGATAGCCCTAGATATAAATTGTTCATTCTTTTTTGGATGGGTATGTTAAATTTGGGTGAACTGGATACCAAGCATTTTTCGAACCGTATATTGATAGATATGATCAATACCTCCAAAATCCTAAATAAAAAATTGAAGTTAGAAGATAAATTATTATATAGGGTTCCACTAGTGGTCCTACAACACATAATGGATAATATAAATGTTCAATCTTGGATACACCTAGGCCTAGTGAAGATCTCGGATTTATGGGATGGATTTAAACCCATCCCATTTATACAATTGCAAGAAAAGTATAACCTTTCCCTTAGAGATCTTTTTCAATATTTAAGGATTAAGAATTTTTTATTATCTCGGACTATACTTAAGGACCACAACGTTAATCCCCTTATTCTATTATATAAAAAGAAGGGAGGGATTTCTAGATTTATTAAATTGCTAGAATCAATGGAACAAGACTCTCATGCTACTTCTTTTGTTAAATGGGAACAAGATATTGGGGAATCCTTTCCACTTCTGGAATGGACCAAAGCTACACTCCTAGTTAAGCGTTGTATACATAGCGTTTCTCTCTATGAAACACATTTAAAGATAATATATAGGTGGTATATGGTTCCGGCTAGACTATATAAAATATAATCTGTACATTCTAAGAATTGTTGGAGATGTGGAAATGAGGAGGGCACTATTTATCATATATGGTGGGAGTGTCAGAGTCTTGATAATATAAAAATTCAAATGCTTGGCCTTATTAATTCTATTTTTAAGAAGATAAAAGTAATTAGCCCTCAACTTTTTCTCTTTAACATTGGTTTCCCTTCGCAAGATAAAAACCAAAAATATCATTTGACCCATATATTTTTTGCCATTAAAATATGTATAGCTAGGGCTTGGAAATCTTCTATCCCATTAATATGGCACAATATTATGGAGCAAATAGAGTATCAGTACAGGATGGAATCAAACCCCTTTTTTGGCACTAGAGATGTGGCCAAACTATGGATACCCTGGACAAATAGACAGAATTTATGATAACAGATTGTGGTTCCCCCCATATCGAGTCTCAGAGAATGCAATTTATTTGTATTATAATTTCCTTTTTTTTTTCTTTTCTTTTTTCCTTCTTATTATTTTATTTATTTATCTATTTGAATGTTTATCAATGTGACAGCTATACCAATGAAATTTTTGGTGTCAATTCCTTTTGATAGCGATTGGCAGTGGACAAATGTAATGTGATTGAAATATACATCATGTGTACGATGGTTTTCAATGGAAACACTGTATTTTATGTGGAAACATTCGGTGCAGCCTATCTATGCTTTTAGCAGTTACATTGATTTTTTTTTTGTTTGTTTTTCTTTTTCTTTTCTGTTTGCTTGTCTAATTTTTGCTGTTTTTTTTCTAACATTTATCTTTGTATCTGGTTGTCTTAATGTGCTGGAGGATTGCCTTTGGGGTACCTCACATGCAAATGTTAAAAATTTCATATAATAAAAATAAAGAAATATAAAAAAAATAAAAAATAAATCAGCTTCGCCAAAAAAAAAAACCCAGAGTGAGGAAGATAGACAGATCTATAAGATCTGGCAGAAATAGACTAAGCAAGGTATAAGAGCTTCCAAATCACACACAGAAGAGAAAATTGCCCAGTCAGATTAAAAACAAAGAAGGAAGGTATGTAGAAGAGGATAAAGGTCTAGCTGACTGCGTCAGTTAATATTTTTGTTCAGTATTTACAGATGAAAATTAAGAAAAGGGGCATCAGTTAGGACAAATAAGTAATTTGTTACATCTGAGTTTACAGAGGAAGAGGTACTATTTCAACTGTCGAAAGTAAAGACAAATAAGTCAATGGGACCTGATGAAATACACCCAAAGTTATTAAAATGATGTACTAGCAAAACCATTAACAGATTTATTTAACAAATCATTGTTAACAGGAGTAGTCCCAGAAGATTGGAAGTTAGCAAATGTTGTGCCCATTCACAAGAAAGGTAGGGAGGAGTCGGGGAACTATAGGCCAGTAAGCCTTACTTCAGTAGTGGGGGAAGTAATGGAAACCATGTTGAACATCTAAAATCACATGGATTTCAAGATCAGAGACAACATGGGTTTATTTCAGCGAGATCATGCCATACTAATCTTGTTGATTTTTTTGATTGGGTAACTAAATTAATTGATCAGGGTGGTGCAGTAGACATTGCTAACCTAGATATCAGTAAGGTTTTTGACACTGTTGCACATAGAAGGCTTATCAATAAACTGCAATATTTAAGTTTGGATTCCAATATTATTGAATGGGTAAAGCAGTGACTGAGTGACAGGCAACAGAGGGTTGTAGTCAATGGAGTATATTCGAAGCATGGGCTTGTCACCAGTGGGGTACCTCAGGGATCTGTACTTGGACCTGTTCTCTTTTATATTTTTATTAGTGATACTGCAGAAGGTCTTGATGGTATGTTATGTCTTTTTGCTGATGATACTAAGATATGTAACAGGGTTGATGTTCCTGGAGGGATAAGCCAAATTGCAAATGATTTAGGTAAACTAGAAAAACTGACATTTAATGTGGATAAGTGCAAGATAATGTATCTTGGATGTAAAAACCCAGGGCAGAGTACAGAATATTTGATAAAGTCCTAGCCTCAACATCTGAGGAAAGGGATTTAGGGGTAATTATTTCTGATTACTTAAAGGTTGCAACAGGAAGTTCTAGCAAAATGTTTGGTTGTACAGGGAGAGGTATTAGCAGTAGAAAGAGGGAAGTGCTCATGCCATTGTACAGAACACTGATGAGACTTCACTTGGAGTATTGTACGCAGTACTGGAGACCGCATCTCCAGAAGGATATTGATACTTTAGAGAGAGTTCAGAGAAGGGCTACTAAACTGGTTCATGGTTTGCAGGATAAAACTTACAAGGAAAGGTTAAAGGAACTTAACATGTATAGCTTGGAGGAAAGACGAGACAGGGGGGATATGATAGAAACATTTCAATACATAAAGGGAATCAACACAGAAAAGGAGGAGACTATATTTAAAAGAAGAAAAACTACCACAACAAGAGGGCATAGTCTTAAATTAGAGGGGCAAAGGTTTAAAAATAATATCAGGAAGTATTACTTTACTGAGAGGGTAGTGGATGCATGGAATAGCCTTCCAGCTGAAGTGGTAGAGGTTAACACAGTGAAGGAGTTTAAGCATGCGTGGGATAGGTATAAGGCTATCCTAACTATAAGATTAGGCCAGGTTATAAAAATGCAAAATCAACAATTTTACTGATCATTTTCTTCCTATATAAATCTATAATCCAGTACCCCAAAAACTCATAAAATATCTTTTGCACATATATATACTTATATATAGGAATATATATCGATCCAGTTTATTCTACTATCTTAATATTATTGTTATACAAGAAATTTTATTATTCTCTTACTGCTTCTTTTATATTTTTCATATATTTCCAATCATAATGGACAACTGTGTATGCATAAGTACCATATAGAATATCGAAGCCTAAAAAGATATGAATGCAAAGAGCGTTCTAACATAAGAAAATCGGCATGGAAACCTGTCAAACTCAACCTCCTATGGTGCGTTTCACAGATGGAACACATAAAACGGAGAAGTTTGAAATGAACACACCGGAAGTTTGTCAACTACGTAGAAAGTTGCATTTCATGTGTGGAACGCAGGAAACATCATTTCCTGTGGGGAAAAAAGGGAAACACCAATCAAGCACAATTTAAAAGAAAGACGAGTCGGAGATGAACATACAGCAACTGAAGAAGCCTCCCAGAGAGGCGAAACACGTTTTGCTACTGAATACAAGACTGTAAGAACTTTTAATTTAATTTAAAGAGTTTTTAACTATGTTTTTGTGCATTTTGTTTTGAATAAAGCACTTTAAAAAAATTAACAAACGTGACTGCAATCAGGTATTGAAGCCATTCTACTGCATAGAGAGGGAGTAGGACCCTGAAATCCCACTAAGCTGAATTTTTGAGCCAAGGGAAACTGGCTCCCTCCTTGTGAGTGTATTCTCATATATATTATTTACCTCACATATAGATACAGGCAATATTGCACCAGCTGTATTTTTTCTCTTTATTTAGGATTATAACTACCAAGGACTATCCCTTTCCAATCTGAACATTTATGAAATCTGATGTAAGATACTCCACCTTTTATATAATTTTTTCTTGTTAAAGATAAGGCCAGGGACTAATGAAAGTATTTAGAAAATTGGGCAGACTAGATGGGCCAAATGGTTCTTATCTGCCGTCACATTCTATGTTTCTGTGTTATTTCTTCGTTTACTCTGACCTCTGGCTTTCCCTGACTTCAGCTTTCCGCGACTACTCTTCTGCTTGTCCTTGCCTGTACTGTGACTTGGAGCTATATTCCTGCACAGCCCATGTGCACAGTCTCACAGCCCAGGTGGCTTCTTACCTGGTCACCTTGGTCTGTGTTTATTTGCAAGGGTGAGCGTTTAACTCTGCACATCGGACTCCACATCAGGTAGCCATGTAAATGTTTATTTTTAACAGGTTATTCCACACTGCTCACTGAAGACAAACATTATTAGACTCTACCATTACAGACAATGCTGGGTGCACACCTGCAAGAAGTTGCTTGAATCTCCTCCCTGCCCATGCGCTCCCTCCTCGCTTCCCTACATTGATATCAGAGAAAGAAGTATTGATATCTGACAGTACGTGGGAGAACATTGGCCGTGCTGTATTCCAGGTAAGTTGTCTCCTCCTTTATTGGGTTTTCTTAATTGAAAAAAATGGGATGGGGGCAGAGCTTGCATGCTGGTTGGAACAGCTCCTGCACCTGATACTGATTACTGGGGCTAACTGCGGGCCATACACTTATTCAAACCTGAAACGATACTCACCCTGCTAAGCTGCCAACGGTGATCACAGGGATACCTCATACAAGCCCATTCGACATTGAATCACCTGGACCGAGGCTTGTGGCCTATCTGAGCTTGAGCTGGGGTGAGACGGTCGCTCTCCCAGTTCTCCGATGGACGAATTGCTGTCCCCCCCTTCTCTAGACCAACGGGGGTTATCCCGGTCCCCACTGGTGAC